ATATATATATATATATTATCATACTATCGAGCAAAGTCTCAATGACATGCTCAAGCTGTTAACAAAGACCCACTTACAACTATTCAACTAGTCCCTAGGCGTTATGAGACTCCCATAAGGTGGGTTATTCACCAAGTAGGAACAATGACATCAAGGAGATTCGAACTCACATTTATGTAATAGGTGAAAGTTCAGTTCAAATCATAAATATTGGGAAAAAAATCAAGTTTTATTTATCCTAAATCATTAAAAAAGGAAGTCACCCACCAAGTAATGTATTTAAAGAGATGTATTTAAAAAAAAAAACAAGTTTCATATCGACTCAATAAAATAGAATTTATAAGTGAGAAATAACTTTTGTCTTACAAGTTGTTTTTCAGGTTGAATTAGATCTAAATTCACATTCTAAAACTAAATATAAGGAACAAATAAAATAATATATATGCAGTAATAAAAGAAAATAAATTAATACAGTTTCTTAAGAATAAAAATGGCCATTAAAAATATAATTCCAATTAATTGCATGCGTATTTTAGAAGTAGTAGAAATAAATAAAATAAATTTAATTGAGATTTGCATACGAATTAAATTGAGTTTTTATTATTATTATTATTATTATTTTTTTTTACTTTTATTGAAAACCAGAAGTACTTGTTAAGAGATGAAGAGGGTAGTGATTTTGTATATAAGGAAAAGAAATATGGAAAGGAAATTATGACAGGTAATAGGGAAACCCGTGCAAAAAGTAGAAAACACAAATATATTCAACTCCAGTTATTATGGTAGATAGCTAACATAATAATATCGTATAGATGTACTTGTAATGTACACTTTGCTTCTATTGACTATTGAGGGAGTTACCTTCCTACTGGGGGGACCTAGAAAAGTAGTTCCATTTGCAAGAACTCTAATAATAAAGTCTATTTGACTTTCTTAAAGACCCTTTATGCTTGGTTATTAATTTGGTTACATGAATCTAGAACAACCCAGTTGTACTTTCCTCCAGTGATGACATGTTGATAAGATCTTCATTGCACTGAGGGGCTGCATCATCAAAGAGCCAATTCTCCAGCAGCATGAGAGGCACTTGATGCGTCTCAATCTCATCACCCAAGTTGGCGTTGTTTTCTTCAGCCGACACAGATTGAGAACGATCAGAGTCGTTGAAGCTCCACAACGAGTCAAGGGCATGATCCCGTGTGGTGCATGTGATGCTGCTCTGTGTTCCCTCACTTGAACTGGACGCTGTCGTTGGTACCATGTTCATGTTGTTGCTAAAGGAGATTGTCTTTGGGGATTTCTTCATCCAGTTTTGGAGCAATCTGGCTATGTTTTCTGTGCTTGATGCGTACAAGGGTGTTTGTGTTTGGTTGTTCGGTGGTGTTGTGGTTGTGGAGGGTAGATTGGTCTCATCAGGGAAAATATTGGTTGGTTTTTCTTCAAGGGACAGTGCCTCACATAAGGCTTGTTTGGCCATGTGGATATCCGTTTGAAGCCTTCTCTCCCATTGACCCTTCAAACAAGACTTTTCTTTCTCATTAGTGTTTCCATCATCATCACCACTCCCAGAATCGGTTTGCATCTTCTTCAACTTTTTCTTCAAATGGGTATTCCAATAGTTCTTTATGTCATTGTCTGTCCTCTGTGGAAGGTACGAAGCTATAGCAGCCCATCTGCACATCATTAATCAATTATTATCAAATCAAACCAAACAAACACACCCCAAATTTTCATACCCAATTCATGAATTTGTCGAATTACTTTAAAGATTGAATTTTTTTTGTAAAAAAATAATTTTTTTTTGGACAATATGGTACCTGTTTCCCAAAAGTGCTTGGAGGTGGATAATCATTTTTTCTTCATGATCAGTGAAATTCCCTCGTTTGATACCAGGTCGGAGATAGTTAGTCCATCTGAGTCTACAGCTTTTGCTGCATCTCATCAACCCTGTACGTAAAACAAAAATCAATGGCATCATTCACATCAAATTTATTAAAACCATGTTTAATAAAGAATATTTCTCTTTAAAAACACTTATAATTTGTACCAGGCTTTAAATAATTAACAAACGAGGACTGGTTGCACATAAATGAAGACCCAAAAGAATATTAATGAAGAAATCACAAAGCATATATGTTAAATTTTTTATTTTACCTGTATTAGTGGGAACCGATCTCCAATTCCCGGGTCCATGTTCTTGAATGTAAGAGACCAAGATGATGTCCTCTTCTGGAGTCCAAGGCCCTTTCTTAATCCCAATTTTGTCACAGCAAGGTGGTCTTCCCATTTTGTACACAAAAAAGTGTTATAGCTAAGCTAGCTATATCTATATATTCCTCCTTTTTCTTCTTCTGGGTTTGTGCCTAATATAAGAGCCTCTTGAATTCTGAGAATGGGAGTATGATATGAACTAAGAAGGATCTTAGAAATTGAGAGACAAGTTTGTGCAACTGGGGCTGGGATGTCTATTCCATTAGGCACATATATATAGAGAGAAGAAGAAGGTGGGTTAGGTTAAAGTTTAATCGCTGACTAGAGATCGAAAAAATGAGGTAAAAGAAAAAGGGTCAAAACGACAACAAAAACATTTACTCGTGTATTGCAAAGGTCAGCTATGCTATGCTTCTCTCTCTTTTCTCCATAAACATTTCACACAAACCCGAGCGGCATTCATTATTATGGGAACAGTGTAAACACTCAGAAGAACAACACAACTTCTTTCTACTATTAATCATTTTATGTATTCTACGTGTTTTAAATATTAAATAAACGTATTTATTTTTCATTTAATGCTTTTGTTATTTTATATTTTGATTTCTCTTCACTGATACGTACCTTTTTTCTTATACGAAAAACTTCTTTTATTAAATAGCAGCGAGAATTATGAGAAGATGTAACATTTTTCTTGAACTAAAATGTCAACTTTAATTAGAAAATAATATTAATAACCATTATAATACACATTCTCTCTAAACCATAATTTTTTTTATATTTAAAGTTTTTCAAACACCTTAAAAATTATTTAATACTAATATTTAAGTACAATATTCTCATTTAGTATTTTTAACAAGAAAATAATAAAGTATGAATAATTAATAAGTATTTCTCTTAAATAAGAGTATATGTGAAAAAATTTAATTAACATTATTTGAAGTTGTAAATAATATTAAAAAATTGAGGAAAAAAAGTCTAAATCATAACAGTTATGTAGCGAAAGGGGTACTTCTTTTATCATAAATTTTAAGTTCTTTTATATATTTTTTTATCAAAATAATTTACATTCCAAAATTTTAAAGTTTAATATTTTTTAAATATCCGACAGACATTTTTCATTTATTTTTTAGAAAAAAAATAAGATAACGGGTTAGGACGATAAAATATTTCCTCTGTCCTAAAGAAATCTTGGATTAAGAAATATTTAATAATATAAATTTGGAGTATAAAAATATAATTTAATATGACAAAATTTAAGAACAGTATAAGAATTATTGATGTTGTTATCTGATTAGAGTTGAAGTTAATATCAGTAATATGCAAATCAAGGTTATATGCATTTATATTTAATATGACAAAGTTAATATGCATTAATATTTAATGAAAATTAAAATACTTATTTACACATATTATTGAAGTGAAATTCTCATTATAATTAAAACACAATATTGAAAGTATTTATGGTAATGTATCTAAGTTTTGTACTATTTATTACTTCCTTTGTTTCATAAAAATGTTGTCCTAATAATTTTTTTTACATAGATAAAAGAAATTAATAAATAAATGAAAGAAAATAGTAATTTTATAAAATTAAAGTTATTATTAAAAATGTTGTTAGAAGTAATGCAACACCAAGAAAATATTAAAGCATATAGGTATAAATGAAAAAAAAATTAATATTATATTGAAAAGTCAAATTGACTTTTCGTCTTTATTTTTGTTGATATACAATTTTGTTCCCTTTATTTTAAAATTGAGACATTTACTACTCCTTCTATTTTTAAAATCACAAATTCTAGTCATACCTTCAATTTAATATTCGTTGATTATTAAATTATAATCATCACCACTTAGCTGACATAATATTTAGTAACATGACATATATGTGTAAAAATTAAAAATTATCATATAAAATAATTTTGTTTATATTTATTTTTCGAATAATTGATATTTATTTTATTAATAAAAATTTATTTATATATTTTTATAATTTTTTATTTTTAAATATCACATCACTTAAATATGAGTAAACATTAAAATTTAATGATTAGTATATTATAATTTGATAAAAGGATCAAAATTTCATACTAAAATTAGAGGACTAAATGTCTTTTTCTTTTTAAAAAAAAATCAAAATTGTATATTGATAAAAATAGAAAGACTAAAAATACCATTTAGTAAAAAAAAAATAAAAATTAAAAACACACTAATTTTTTACTTATTTTTTTTTCTTAGATGACACTTAATTTAAGACAAAGAGAATATCTCATTATTTCAACTTATTATATTGTTTTTGCAAAATAAAAAAAGGGTAAATACTTTCTATTATACTTATCATAAGACAGGGAAAAAAATATTAACTTTTTTTTTATAAGTTTTACAATTTCTATGAAACTTTAGTTTTATTTTTATCTTTTGTCACTATTAAATATTATGAATATGTGTAGTTTTTTATTGTTAAATAATTAAAATATAATTTAAAAATTAAATATCCTCTCTCATCTCTTAAACTCTTGGATTGTTTATCAAATTTATTAGTATTAGAAGAAAAAGATTGTTTAACTTTTAATTCCTATAAGTTTTTTTTTTTATTTTTATCTTTCATCTCTCCCATTACTTTTCACTGCTTATCTATGACATGTCAACTAAATGAATATTGTTTCCAGTGAATTTAACTCTTTTGATGTTTGACATTCCATGCATAATAAATGATAATAATAATAATAAAAAAGTAATGATGGAGATAAAAAATAAAAAAATATTACATAGACTAAAAGTTCATCAAAAAAATTTAGGGACCGAGAAAAAAAAAACCAATATATTATATGAAAAAAATATTTAAACTAAAAATTAAAAGTTTTGGGATGAAGACTAGTAAATAAAAGCTGTTTTGGCATAAATTTATGTCTATTGTGCATGATTAAAGATTTTCGATGAAAGAAATATTATGTTTAAGTTTTTTTATTTTATTAATAGATCTCTTAAGATATTGAAAACTTAATAAATGATAAAGACATTAAGTATAAAAACTGAAAATTTTGATATTATTGATGATTAAAAATATTATATTTATTAATTTTTATAACAATTATCTTAAAATTATTTTATTATAAGAATCTAACTCTATTAAAAATGCTTTTAATACTCACGCACTTGTTGAATCAATTGAACTATGCTCTCTTAATAATTTCTTTATATATTAGTGTGTCAAAAATTAAATTCAAATAATTAATTGAAAGTTATATTTAAGATTTTTGTTACGTAATATGAATGAGGGTGCGCCAAATTTTCTTTTTTCTCCGCGGAATAGTGTCGCTGTTGGTATCTAATAGTAATATGGGCTTTTGGATTATATAACAAGTTGTTTTCAACGTAATTAAACCTCACGCCTTGTGATGTGTGCTTCATCATCGTGTGGTTCACAAGCTTTTAAAGAACACAGGCTTTTCAACTTCATTATGGTATCACCGGTCGGCGTAATGAGGAAAGAAGAATGTTAGTAATGCAATTTTATATATATTTTTTTAAAAATTCTTTTATAAAACTTTGTTTAATTTTGAGTCTTTGACAATGTGAACCTGTTTTTTTGTTAATAAATAAAATAGTACAATAGTTTACTTAATATTGAAAATTATATATGTTGATGACATGTGGCCCTTTCCAAACAAGAAATACGACTTCCCGGTGCATTGTCGGCTATTAATTTAAGTGAAGAATTGTCGGTAACTACAAAAAAATGTGTGATTTCTGGCGGTTAAAAACCGTCACAAATTGCATTACCGGCGTCATTAATAACCGCCGGATCTACGGTCGCCAAAAACCGTTTGTGGCGGATATTTTGTAAACGCTGGTTTTGTGCGCCAGAAAATTCAATCTCTTTCTGGCGGTTTGAAACCGCCACAAAATGCATTTTGGTTTGACTTGTTTGACATTTTCTGGCGGTCTAAAACCGCCACAAAATTGCAGCTCTGTTTGACTTGTTCATCATTTTCTGGCGGTTTTAAACCACAATATTTATTTTAATTCTACCCAGTTCAACATTTCTGACGATTTTTAAACCTCCACAAAATTATTATTATTTTTGGTTGTTTACATTTTCTGGTGGTTTTAGATTGCCATTTCTCGCATTTTCTAATAATTTTAAACCGTCAAAAATACACTTTATTTTTCGGTAACTTTTTTTAAAAATATATTTGGAATTATTTTAAAAGCGCATTTTCTATAAGAGAGATTTTAAGAATTTTTATATTTACTTATCTAATTCAATTTATTTATTTATTATATTATTTATAAATTAAATTTTAATATTTTTAAAATAATTTATGAATAAATAAAATAATTTACATTAAAATATAAATCATTTATCAAAAATTTAAAATATAATTTATATGTTTAAAAATATTTATTTATATAAATTTTAATTATAATTTATATATT